ATCAGCGAGAGCGTGTGGTTGCCCTTGTTGGTGAGGACGAGCATGAGCGTGCCGGCGCAGAAGAGGACACCGGCCGAGAAGATGGTCGCGCGGCGGCCGTACTTGTCGGCAATGTAGCCGCCGAGGTACGCACCAAAGATGCAGCCAATGTAGTAGAGCACGTTGTACAAGGTCGTAAAGGTCGACCAGTTGTCCGGGAGGTCGGCCGAGGCGGCCGTGCAGTTCGTGTACGAGTTGCCGTTGTAGTCGACGCAAAAGTCATTCAGGAACGAGTCCATGACGAGGACACCGCCGGTGACGCCTTGGTCATAGCCAAAGAAGATACCGCCGAGGGACGCAAAGACGCAGACGACGATCGCGTACGTGCGGGAGCCTTCGGTCGGTGCGTCGTGGGCACCGCCGCTCGGGAGCATCGCAATACCACCAGCCATGGTTGTGGTCGACGAGGTAAAAGGCAAAGTGAGCAAGAGGCAGCGAGAGCCTTCTCGCTATAATGAAACGCGTGGTGAGCCGCAAAGGCGCGACATGTAATTAGCAACTGGTGCAGCGTCTGGACCAAGCAAAGGCGTGGGCAGTGGGATGTTGAAGTGGGGCATTGAACTTGCAGTGGGTTTGTCCCATGCGAGTGATAGGAATTTAATCGGCGATTGACTATCCAGTACTGAATTACAGTGGAATTACACCGACTATTACACTGCGTCTGGGAACGCAAGTGCAACTCGGCTGGTTCGTGACCCATCGATTGCGTTCAGAATGCGGTTTTTCTACAGAGCTGCAATGCGTGGTCCTGGCAACCGAATGGTTGGTCGATGGATTCTGGAGCTTCTTACGCCAGTGCTGCGCTAATGGAGTTATAGAGCCTGGTATTGAAGGATTTACTGTTCTTCTTTTTCTCTCGATGTGCATGTACATATCCAGTGGTCGGAAGCCACCCGAGTTCGATGGATTCCCCATCAGTAGTAGCCAAATTATTTCCAGCGCAGGATTGTTGATTTGAAATCGAGTGCCGATCCTCCGCCACCTTGTTTCTGTGTCTGGCCGGCAGATTTCAGAAGGCACATAGGGACGCCGCCCACGGTACCGGTACGTATCCACTTCGGTGCTTCCTTCTCGTCCTCCTCCTGGCGATGGCTGGCGATGGCACACGAGGGAAGAAAAAAAGAAAAAAAAATAGAAAAAAATAGTCGATCGGCAACGCAACTTCAACGTTGAAGCCGGACCTGTGACCCATGGGTGCCGTCGATTGCGTTGGGTGCCTCCACCCAAAGAGACCTGGCGGTAGTTCCTACCACCTCGTGGTGTCGTGTCGACATTTCTGTCCATAGTGCGTACACCGAATTCGTCGTCCCAAGAGCCTGTGTTGAAGCGTGGCTTCCATCGGTGTTGCGCAAGATGCTTCTTGCGTGTAGCTTTCGCACGCGCCCACAAAAGATGCACGTGGTACGACCTTGAGAAGAGCGCAAGAAAGGACCTGCTTCCAGATCGGGTGCCAAGTTGAAGTGCTGCGTTGGATGACCGATTGGATGCCGTAGTACAATTGGGCGCCGACCTCAAACATGCGATGTACCGTAGCTTCCATGTCGAATGCGCGCACTTGAATTGGTAGTTCTCTGGGCAGGTGCGCTCTCCAGAGGAGGATGTACGCTCGACGCGCTCGCGTCGGCCTCGTCATCGCTTCAAGTGGTTGCTTCCGCATGAAAAGTCGCAAAGACATGCGGATGCGACGAAGAGAGCGCTGTGTTGTAAGCTACTCGAACCGTCATCGTCGACGTGTCTTGGCTGCGACTCGCGGCATCGAAAAGACATCGAGACGCATGCAAATGTTGTTGGCTTATATGCTTACGTTAATCG